TATTGAGCTGATCAAACATGGCAAGGGAAAAAAAACATGAAACACATTGAAACACCATAAAGCCATAAAACAACCTATAAATCGAGGTTTATAGCTGGGAAATCATCCATAAACTGGTGGATTTTCCATGTTTGACCCCAGGTGTGCCCACCTTCCGCCTTGCAGAGCCTGCACTCCCGAAGGGTGTTGGGAGAACCCAGGAGGATCCGAAGCGATCTGAAGCGGAAACTGCTTGGATGGTGCAGAAATGGAAGATTTGTATGGAAAATTAGTGAGAATTATCTCAACAAATTGGGAATATCAATGCTATCATTTATATATCAATGCTATCATTGATATATCAATGCTGTCATTGATATATCATGATATATATATATATATTGATATATTAATATATCCAAATAGAAATGAATGGTTTTTGGAGAGAAATAGAGGACTTGTATGGGAACTGTGGGAAATCAATAAAAATCATCAAACTCAAAACTCAATGGGGATAATATGTAGAAAATGCTGGATTGATGGGATATCAGCTGAATACCACAAGCATCAGGTGTTTTTTTATCGAGGGGGTGGAACCTTTGGGGGGCTTCCCTGTACAACGATGATTTTGGTGAGTTGTGTGTGTGAACAAGTGTATGGTGGTTTAGTCATCGCAGTGTTTTGGATTTTTTAAATGTATTCAATGTAGTTTGATGGGTTTTGACAAATATTGGTGCAATGAACCATTAGCGCTATGGATATGAAGTTTGATCAGCAACATCAAAGTAATCTATAGTCCAAACGAAATATCGGATTCCATAACCGTCAACAAAAGTGGTGAGAAAAAATGGCGTAGACGCGATACGACGACTAGCAGACAATTGCACAGAACTTAAGATAGCCAAGATAAGTTGTTGATTCAAAGTACTGCAACATAGACACCCTCTTTCAACCTTCCCGGGTATATTTGGAGGTAAAGTCGCTGTCCCAGAATCGAACAGCGAAAAAACAAGTCTCTTTTGGGAGCTTTTGGTATCATGAGATAGCGTTTGTTCCAGACAGTGGCTTTATGGTTCGATCCAAACACCTCCTTTGATTCTTGCAGAGATGATTTGCGGAGAAAATCAGAGTGAGCATCCCAACAATGCTGGAAGTTGGATCCGGCTTGGGGCAATGAAGCATGTCTGAATTGTGGCAACAAACCATATGAGTTTATATATTGGTAATTGGTTCCCACCCATAAATATGGCCCATGATAAGCTGCGTGTGTTTCTTAATTATCATGTCACTTCCCGGTTCCCCCATCGTCAAGGTTGAGACTTTCTCCATCTGTCGGAGGCTGGAGATCCGAGGCTAATGTTAGTGGTTGGTTTCGGGTCAGTGAATTTAGAGGCATCAATGAAGGGACTTGAAATAAGTTATAACCCTGATATGATATACCCTCACTCTTGGGTTTTTTTCGTAGAATGAATGCCCATTTGGATCCATTTGGACCATGACAATGATGTGCATTTGTTTGGGGCATGACGTGAATAGATGGCAATGGAATATCGGAAGATCCCTAATTTCACTCGGAAAAATGATCAGAAAATTGTAGGATTCGCCACTGCAATCCCAAATGCCCATGGAGCTATATCCATATTATATGATCATGATTGATCATGTACATCGAGTATAATTATATGAGTGTTGGATGGCGGATTTGTGCGATGAACGTCACGACTACAGCCGTTTAAATGTTGCCGTAAAAAGCAGGGTTCCAGTGTACTGGTCGTTGTTCTTTCAGGGCGGATGAGGCACGTCCTGTGAATGGTGAGAGGTGAGGGAGCATTGAAAAAGCATGCGTTTCACCACAGCATGGATAGTGCAGGTTAAATCAACATGCGCAGCTGTTAACAGCTTGAACATCCAAGAGATATTCAAAGATTACTAATGAGATCTAAGGACTGAAAATCTAACAACTGATGCAATCTGTAGCCAGGGGTCGGTTTGCATTTATTGGAATTGACATTCAGTGAAGCTGTTTCTCTCAAAAACCCATCGTACTACAGGTGATGAATGAAGTGAGGCTGCAACCTTCCTAGATCCACTTGAAACCAGTACGGGAAAGGAGAGTTTGCTTTCTGAACAAAGAAAAAATGTGTATACCCTAAATGGATCTAAATTGCCATTTGAGTACCAAACGTGACGATAAACAACCATCAGATTTCGGAGTCCTATTTTCCGCGACACCTAAATAGACGTGGCAAGACAAGAAAGGACTCCAAACGTCGCCAACGTCACCAACATCTCGCCCCGAAGAGGGTGGCATCAGAAGCAGTGCAAGCATGGCAGCTGGCAAAATGCAATGCTACAGGTTATCTTTATGGCCAAACGTATGAGAGAACCCTTGCCCCTAAAATCCTATAACGTCAGCTCTGGATTAATTTACCCCTAGACTGTTTTATTGAGATTTGAGGGGTTACCATGTAAGTATCAGATTATCACTATTTGGGGAGTATCCGCCTTGTTATGACAACCCACCGTTTGTTCATCCTGGGTAAACGTTAGATGCTGTAGATGCTGTTATTTTGCATCTTTTGCCAGCTGTGAATGTTGCGACTCTCGTGCGCTTGAAAAGGGCCGGGCTGGTCACGGTGGTTGCCAAAGCTGTTGCGACTTCGCCACGACCTCGCTGTGCCCTGCTGAGACATGGCGAAATGTGTTGTTAACGGAGTAGAAATCACAATATATGGTGCCCCTGTTAAATAGATATATCTACTTGAAACCATAATATATATATATATATAATATAATTATATTTATAATTTATAATATTTATTACTAGAAACCAACTTAGCTAAGCATGGGGCACCACCTTGTGTATATAAGGTATGGACAACTTTGTGCGGTATGTATGATTATCATGGCCCATTGAATCATGATGAAGATTAAATATTGACACATATTGACACAACATAAAAGGAACCTGTGAGTTGGACAGATGACTTTCCTATGCTTCGCTACTGTGGATGGTGAACAGAGATCTCTCGAAACTCCACCGTCGGCTGTATCCCCAAAGTTGAGATGCCAAGCTGGTCACCGTCGCAAACATCGGTAGGTGCCCTGGGAAGAGGGAACAATAGGATCATGTGTGATGGGTTGTTTGCCACTCGATTCAAAAAAGTTGGATGCATGTCCATTTATTGTTAATGCTCCACACTGCATTTGATGTTTCAGCCCACATGTGTGCTGTTTAACCCCCATTCTTTGTGCTCAAAAGGGTTTGGTACCAACTAGGATCTGACCCCAAGTAGCTACGTTTTTTTGCCGTCAGTCTCGTTGCGCACGCAATACTTTCTAGACACGCCAGTCGTGTCAGTTCTCGGCTGGTGCTTTGGCATCGGAAAACGCGGGAGGTAGAGGGTCTCACAGGCGTGAAAGGCTTAGTTCGGCTTAGTTGTCTTAGTTAGTCTGTGCAGCTTTGAATCATTGTTATTGTGCAATTTGGTTTCTCACCATGTGCTTGTTATTGCTCAGGCTTAAGATTAGTAAAGTTTGCCTCGACAAAAACTCATGGTAGCCTCAAGAGTGATTTGGGCACTGCTCCCAGTGATGGGGAAAAGATAGCCATTGATTTGTTGGGTAAACCATGGATGAACAGTTTAGTGCTGAATATATTACCTTTCGCGATACATTGGGATATGTCAAGTTAGCCATATTTTTTTCGGGTATAAGAGTGGCATTTTTTTCCGATCACAGGGCCCATTTGTCACTAGAGTCAGGTGGAATAAAACAGCTTCAGAAAAGGGCGCATCAGATATGGGGTTAGATGGGTTAAAACACATCTTAAAAAAGCGGCTTCCACGTCCATGCTGAAGGATAAAGCACATATTGGACAGGCCGAATGTTTAGCAATCCGAGCTTCTTAACTCTGTTCTGGCTTGGAAACAGCAAGATGGAAGGGGCATAATTACTGGAGAATTTGACTTGAGTCTAGTCAATGTGATTCTTGCTTTTCTTGAGACCTTTTTATCCAGAAAATATAGACTCAAAATCTATAGCAGTTTCCGATAGCTTCCACTAGAAACGGCCGTCAATTAGTATAGTGCATGGCCAAAATCCACTGTGATTTCGACAGGTGAATAACATTCAAGGGAATGGTGGCTGTTCACGTGGTTGATTTTGTAGATCCAAAGGACACATATGCAAACACTCAAATGGTTTCATCAATATGCATGCATCAATAATCTATGTATTTTGGTATATTAGGAGGGAGTCGAGTTGGGTGGACCAATCTGACCTGCAGCTCCACAGCACGTCCGTGATCTGACTTTTGTTTTTGTTCAGCTTCAAGACATGCAGCCAGAAATTTTGGGTCACTGCAATCAGGACTAGTTCAACTGGTATACTCCCATCATTTTGGAGATTCTTTCCACGCGGATGAAATCCTGAACGAGGACCATCGAGCACCAGGTGTTGAGGATTTGGAGTCCCCAAACTCCCTGGAGAAACTGATGGAGTGATGGAATGCATTCAGATTACATGTGACCTTTTTATCTTATGTGATGTGTCATGAACATGGATTTTTTTTTAAAACAAAAACAAAAACTGGATCTCATAGGATCCCATGACATATCCCGATGATATCCCCATCAAGTGATTAGTGTATATATATATATATACATATATATATATATATTGGTCAGTTGGAATCCGTTTGAACCCCCATTGCCATAAAATGAGATGTTTACTTCGCACAGGGTATCCCATTCTTACTGGGAAAATGTCCCCATCATTTGTCCTATCTAAATTTGCTGGTTGCCATCCCCAAAATGTCATTGAACATGTCCACGACATCTCCATACATTTTATGGGTTTTTCCTAAGTTATGGAGGTGTACCCCAATAACTGGATGGTTTATGTACGTCTATTGGATTTTTTTTGTAGAAATGAAGTAACCAATGTAACCAATGGCTTAAAACCAGGGCTACTCCTCGATGTATTTACAGTATTTTACAGTTGGGTACCCCCATGGCTTAGGACACCCCCATATGGATCGATCGTCCTTATGCTCCGCCATGGCGTCGCGTTTGCGCCGCGGGTGGGCAACTGGCTGGCGGAGACCAAGCCCGTGCCGCAGGAAGCGCTGAACTTGGTGGGGTAAGTTCACTGTGATTTCTATGGTTTATGATATATTTCTTTTCTATTTTATAATTCTGTAATATATGTATAATACTATACATTATATATCTATTGACTATATATTGTATATGTATGTATATGTATATATTAATTGGATATTATACGTATTGATTGGATACATTACACATATGTATTATATACATAATTAGTAGGGGTTATGAGCCAACTTAGAACTCACGATTGGCAGGCATAAACTTGTAGGTGATTGTACCCTGCAAAATGATACGAACTATATTGAATTATGGGATGATGTATGGGATTGTGTTTTTGTTTAAATGATTTTCCCAAGAACAATATTATGCTAAGGGAAATTGATTGGGTTTTTGGTGATTTTTGCAAGACAGATATGTGGGAATCACAAATTTGTGTTTGGGAATCCCAAACGCTTGTATTTATTGGTATGTGATTTATCGAACATAAAATAAGGAACATAAAAGTCTTGTTTGTTTCATTCATTTTTACTCAGCAAAAACTATAAGGGAATCATGGGAAATGGTGGTTTTTGCTTCCCAAAATTAGGGTATTCTTGGTGGCAGACTCAATCAATATGGGAATTTCGTTTGGGAATGGCTCAGACTGAGAAGAAGTGATGTTTTCCAGAGATTTCAGTGGGATATTTAAGAATATTTAAGATATAAACCGGCAATGATTGCATATTTATCAACTAACTGGTGAAGGAATAAATCTACGGTGATGATAATCTATGATAATCTACTATGATGTTTTTAAACCTACGATTATTGGTAAGAAAACCATGACATCCACATGAAATCCTGGTCTGAATCTCCAAGAACCCTCCAGCAGTGTCCCGACCCCGCACCGGCCTTATTTCATTGGACAAAGAGGCTGTGCCTTTTCGAACTGATGTGTTTCATTAGCCACCAAAATGGCATCTGTTTATTTGTACACGTGTATACATACCTGTATCCATGCAGTTTTGTTTGATTCATTTGTGGCTTATAGATCAGAAATGTTTGTTTAACTATGTCAATGAACTGGCGTGCAGCATCAGGACTACCTTGCTGGAATCCCTTTTGCGGGAAGATCTACATTGACTGGGCTATTTGTTGGGGTTGCCCAGTGTCCATGCGTGTTCTTTTTTGGCAAGCGAGTCTTCGACAGACTTGCATACAATGTACACGTAGTCACATTGCACACACAGTGGCCTGCATATCATATTCCGAATACCGCGTGAACATGATTTTGCTGATCTATATAACTGAGCAATCGTTTTTTGTTTACCATAGTATAGTAAAGCATCGCACTCTTGCAGTTTGTAGTTTGGAGGCTCTGCCTCAGAATGAATCAGCTGCCTGTTTGTACGCGGCCATCGGGGACCCCAAACAGCGCAAGATTCCCACGGCTCTTTGCAAGATCATATGGTAGATGGGTGGTAGTGGATCTATTGGTAAGCAGGTTGATTGTTGTTTGGGTCAAAAGAGCCAGGATTCAAAGAAGCGGGTCTTTCAAGGGGGCTTGGATGTGTCAAAACACACTTTCCATGGTAAGAAGGACGGTCAAAACCATGATACTGCTTTAAACAAAAAACTATCAAGAACTACTATTGATGAGGGTGAAGATCTGAAGGTCAAAAGAAAGTAACTATTCACATCCAAAAATAGACATCAGACATCGTAGAAGATCCCACCCAGTTTCAGTGGACCAGAGGGTGCCAATCTGTTTGGGTCTTGGATGGTCTTGGTTAAGTTATGAGGAACCCAAACTGGGACGCTTTGCTGTTGTAAATGTTTGTAAATGGCTCAATGGCCAAGTCCATTTGTGCATTCCAAGTCTTGTGTCAAAAAAAGAGCTCTTTCCTTGAAGACCCAGCGACCCATCTCCCTATGGCTTTAGATCCTGAACCATCCTCCCATCTAAAATGGTTCTTGAAGATATCCGTGCTTGATCCTCATCCCACCAGTTGACATCCCATCCCATGATTTTTCACTGATTTAACTGCCGTGTCTTGCTTAAATCCCCATGTTTGTTGTTTAACTCCTCATTGTTGATTCTTAAGTCCCATTGGTCAAACCTCACCACGTTTGGAGAAATCCACTTGGGGGTGTAGTTGGGCTGCTAAATCGGGATAACCACAGTAGTAAAACCTCCGTAAATTTGGATATGATCTCTATAAACTATAGTATCCTATAGTTGACTAATTATATATTATATTATATATATACATTGTATATATAGTATAGTACACCATAGTCAATAGTCAATATATCCAGCTATCACCCTAACTGCCCGCGCCTCGCGCAAGGTCAAAGTCGCGGAGCATGGCCCTAAAGATCCCGCAGTGTGGAAGCGTCTCATCGCGCGGGTCGATGTCATTGCGCACTCGCTGACCGCCAAGCGCCTGGAAGAAACGGAGAAGGATCTCAAGGTAAACTGTTATACCAATGGATTATATATGGTGAATATTTCCCCAATAATATCCTATATAAATATACATAATTACTATGGAATCATATATGGTTAAATGGTGATTATATTCCACCAATCATGGTTGATTTATATACTATGTTATACTGATTATGAACTACCCCATTTGGAGGTATCCTAAAACAGAGGTACCCTAAATCATCATTTGTTTAAAGAGGATGTACATTATAAAATCATCCAGCTATTGGGGTACCCCCATTTATAGAACCCCCCAGGGGAATTTTAGAAAGGTGGAACTTGGAGTTGCAAAAGATGCTTTGTTATATAGTAAACTTTAGTGTAGATTACTGAGTTTTGTGTAAATTAGTATGGACAATCCAAAATCCAGACCGGATAGTTAGTGCCCACGATGTTTGGGTATTTACTGGTTGGTATCTCCATCGCTGGTTGATATGGCCATCAGGGCCACCAGTTCTGCAGTATCTAAGCTTTGCCATGAATCACCAGCAACTTGCAGCAAGCAAAAGTTATTAGAATGGTAATGAAATTTACTGCACTGATGTAGAAATGCTAGACAAAATAGTCATAACATGTTTTTTTAATGTTATTCTCATGAAATGAACAAGGAAACAAATACACAGATGTGGATCATACAAATAGAGATTCTACTATAAATCATCCGGAAAGTCTTGTCATTCCCATGATGATTGGAAATCCCATGAAACATCCATCCATCCACTGGTTTATCATCATGTTCCCTTCTAAGATTGCCAGTTTGAGGGTATATTCTGAACACCCCATGTTCAGTCACACTCAAATATCATATTCTTCATTACGTTATTTGTGGATTGTATATGATTGTATGAATTGTGTATATACACAAAGTATATACGTATATATTTTAGATATTATGTATGAAATATTATATATTATATGTGTTTATACTATACAGTACATATTAGTTTATATTATACATACAATATACTTATTACACATAAACTCATATGTATGTATATGTGATTATATATATACAGTACTCTCTGGTTATTTAACATAGCTATCGGAAATGATCCTTTTCAATACTTGAATCAACATAAATCACCTATAAATGGGCCATTTTCTATGGCTATGTTAGACCAGTATTCATTCGTCGAGGCAGGCCTCTTTGATCCTGTCCTCCATGGCGCGGACACGGCAGGTGCAGGAGAGCTGCCCGCACCGATTTTTTTTTGACTGCTCTCCAATTCTTGGGAGTTGTATTTGTTTTTTTTTTCGAAATTCTAGAAGTTATGACAACATCACTACGACCTCACTCGACATGATGCCCAGTACGGGTAACCATACCCAAAACCCAAATGCCACACTTTTTCAGCTGGTGACGGTGAATTATGCTCAATCCAGTATCCGGATTTATAGCACTCCCCAAGAAAGATAGCATAGTAGAATCCATGTCAATCGCAATTTTACTCAATTCAACCGCATCCATTTAGAGGAGTTATCATATGGATACATTGCTGTTTTTTTTAATCACAATGTTTGCTAGTTATTCCGATCTCATGGTGGGTATCCACCTTTGAAGCCCCAGGTATCCACCAGAGCCTCGCAGGAGACCTTCCTACATCGCTTCAATCTGAAGTTCGCGCCCTCGCTGATTGCGCAGGCGGAAATGATTGACCTCTGCGGCAGCTCGGTTGGGGGATGTTGGGGGGATTGAGGGATTGAGGGATGGGCAGATTGCGATGTTTACAATTTGATACAATTTGCACAAAATTTTGAATACCCTCCGGTAATTGAGCTTAGCTGTGGAAAATGGATCAAAATGGATCAAAATGGCCCATGCCGTTCGATGTTTTACCATGCTTTACCGTAATGATGATTTTCCAGTGATTTTCCATTCTATAATGGGGTACCAATGGCACTGAGAAAGAGCAGTGAACATCGATCATTGACTGACTGTATGCAATCAATGAATTTGAAATGTTTCCGCAAAAGAAAGATTATGTTTAACGACTCTTGGCATAGCCGCAGAGACCCATCAATTAAAGACCCCAGAAGCAACGCCGCCCATGACTATTTTTTTGAATTGAGTCAAACTTGGCAGAAAGGCATTGCTTTGGCAGACTGCAAATCAACACCAAGATCAACATCCAACCCAACTCAATACCTGAATGGAGAGGTTCTCATCAGCGGTGAGCAAGAAATGTTGGGATAAAATCAACATCAAAAAAATGCATGAAAAGACCGTAGTTTCTTTTATGATCTCGAATCGATACTCAACGAAACTGAGGTATGATCAGCAGCCTGAGTCAGTTGGATAGCTATCAGGAAGAGTATCTTGGTAAGATGCGAGGTCGGTCCTATGTGGTCCTATTAGTGGTCCTTAAAGACATATATACTGACGGACACACAGTTAGAACCTCTTTTGGAAAAAACATATTTATACATCTAGCCGGCTTCTTACTCTAACCACGAAATCACCACATTTAGAACCAAAATATATAGCACTTCTATGCAACATTTCATATGCTGCATATGCTCCTACCCTTGTACACACTCACACTTAGAACCTCTTGTATGCATACATATATTCACAAGTATACATATATCGTATGATAGATACTTTTGTATATGAACTCAAGTTGTGCGAAATCACATATGTCTCTGCCTTGCCAGTGCACACTCTGAAGCTCTTTGTATACAAGCACATACTCACAAGTATATATATATAATTATCGATATTCTTGTACATAATCCCATGCTGTGCAAACCAACATATGTGTGTGCCCCTTGCGAGTGCTCACACTTTGAACCTTTTTGTATACATCAACATTCCCAGATGTGTACATATACATATATACAATTATATACATCATATCATGGCTTCATTTGTGTATGAACCGATCGGGTGCAAACTTACATATGTTTGTGACCTTGTGAGTGCTCACACTTAAAACCTCTTTGCATACATACATATATTCACAGGTATACATATTTCATATTACAGAAACTTTTGTATATGACTCCGTGTTGTGCGAACTCACATATGTCTCTTCCCTGGCAAGTGCTCACACTTCGAAGCCCTGTTTCCATACGTACGTACAGTGACAAGAAAACACATATCATGTCATAGATACTTGTGTATATGAACCCATGTTCTGCAAACTCACATATGTTTGTGCCCTTGCAAGTGCTCACACTTAGAACCTCCTTATATATATGCATCTACTCACAAGTATACATATTTCATATTACAGATACTTTTGTGTATTACTCCGTGTTGCGCGAACTCACATATGTCTGTGCCCTTGCGAGTGCTCACACTTAGAACCTCGCGGTATACAAGCAGATACTCACAAGTATACATATAACATATATAATATCAAAGATACTTTTATATGTGAACCCATGTTGTGCGAACTCACATCTGTCTGTGCCCTTGCGAGTGCTCGCACTTAGAACCTCTTTGAATACATACATGTGCTCACAAGTGTATATATATATATATATTCCATCACAGATACTTTTATATATGAACCCATCTTGGGCGAACTCACACATATGTTTGTGCCCTTGCGAGTGCCCACACTTTGAGAAGCTGTTTGTATACATGCATATGATCACAAGCATACTTATGATACATCATTAATACTCTTGTATTACCTATGTTTTTCAAACTCACATATATGTCTGTGCCGTTGCGAGTGCTCACACTTAGAACCTCTTTGTATACATACATTTACATATACTCACAAGTATACATATTTCATATTACAGATATTTTTATATATGAACCCATGTTGTGTGAACTCACATATGTCTGTGCCCTTGCAAGTGCCCACACTTAGAACCTCGCGGTATACATGCACATACTCACACGTATACATATATCATATCACAGATACTTTTATATATGAACCCATGTTGTGCGAACTCACATATGTTTGTGCCCTTGCAAGTGCCCACACTTTGAAGCTCTTTGTATACATGCATAGACTCACAAATACACTTATGTTATATCATAAATACTCTTGTATTTTCAAATTAAACCGATTTTGTGTAAACTCACAGATGGTTGTGCCCTTGCGAGTGCTCACACTTAGAACCTCTTTGTATACATACATTTACATATACTCACAAGTATACATATTTCATATTACAGATATTTTTGTGTATGACTCCGTGTTGTGCGAACTCACATATGTCTGTGCCCTTGCGAGTGCTCACACTTAGAACCTCCTTATATACATGCATATACTCACAAGTATACATATATCATATCAAAGGTACTTTTATATGTGAACCCATGTTGTGCGAACTCACATATGTCTGTGCCCTTGCGAGTGCTGGCACTCAGAACCTCTTTGCATACATACATGTGCTCACAAGTATATGTATTCCATCACAGATACCTTTGTACATCAACCCGTCCTGTGCAATCTCACACTTGTACGTGCCATCGCGAGTGCTCACAGTTTGAACCTCTTTGTATACGTATATTGACAAGTATTAGTATACATATCGTATCATGGATAATTAGTTTTGTATATGAACCCATGTTGTGCGAACTCACATATGTTTGTGCCCCTGCGAGTGCTCGCGCTTTCTCTTTGTATACATGCATCAACTCACAAGCATACATATGTTCTATCACAAATACTCTTGTATATGAGCCGATGTCATGCAAACTCACATATGTTTGTGCCCTTGCGAGTGCTCACACTTAGAACCTCTTTGTATACATACATATACTAACAAGTATACATATATCATATTACAAACACTTCTGTATATGACTCCGTGTTGTGCGAACTCACATATGTCTGTGCCCGTGCGAGTGATCACACCCTAAGACTAAGACTTAAATCCTCTTTGTATACATATATACAGTACTTACATGTAAAGTTGAAATGGCAATAAATTTGATGTGTGCAGGAAAATGACGCGGCCCTCATAGTTGGTTGCTGTGACTCCCACAGTTAGAACCTTTGGAATCAAACAGGTTCTAACTGTGGAGGTTTCTTGAGGTTCTAACTATGAGGAGTGAAACTTTTGGAAAAAAAATGTGGTTCTAACTTTGTGTCCATTTGTATACTGTAGAGGTTTCCTGAAATGGGGGTACCCCCAAATAATCTATTTTAATAGGATATTACACTATAAACCATCCATTTTGGGGTACCGCCATTTATGGAACCCCCCAGAGGAATTTTTAAAAAGTGGAACTTGGAGTTGCCGAAGATGCTTTGCTATATAGTACAGTAATGGTTTTATTTCAGGTTTGTGATGGTCAGTGAATTGTTATAATTTGCCCAGATCTATATATAAATCATTTGCCCAGATATATATATATAAATCATTTGAAGGTCCTTATGACCAATGATGGGCACCCCTCATTGGAGCTGATGAAGGTCCACCGGCAACAGCCTTAACTTCGGCAGATCAGGATGCATATCATGATGTATTATGTCAATACCCTTATATAGCTTACGGGTGACCTAACCACAATTTGAATATCTGTGGAGGTTTGACCAACATTTCTTTTGATTTTGAGGTATTTATATATATATGCATACATCTCACAGTCATAGTCATATGTGTATGTAAATGACATATGTGTCATAGTCATATGTTATCGTTTGAAGAATTTAGTATAATTGAGTGAATCTTTGCCTCACGTGGTGAAGCCAGTGGTGAAGCTGCAATCCTCCCCAACATTACCAGAAATGGCTTGGTACCAGGGAAAAAAATCGGAGTTTATCTTAGTGAATAAAAAGTGTGTCATGAGTGTGTAAAGGTGAAAAAAAACACATCGAGTTCCATGATGTTCCATGACATAAATCCTTCAAAAGATGCCCAATGAAAAGGGGGATTTCCCACCCGCCAGGCTATTCTTGGTGGCCTCCAAAAGGCTTCAGGAGGTTCTGATGTTCAGAACAAAGCTGCGGCCAAAGGTTTAGTCTATAGCAACCCCAAGAGAAAGGTAGAAAAGTCATATCTATGTCTAGAAGAGTGGTGAATTATGATGGATTATTCTCTTTTTTGGGGCTTGCGATACTGTATATCGGGAAAATTGCAGGTTTGTGTTGCTGGTATCCAAACTTATCTATGGACGTGTGGGCGGTGTGGGTATTCACTGCGGGATAAAGTAACAAAAACGTAATTTGTTGACCAATAAACAATCCAAATTGTTTGGACATGGACCAACATATTCTTTGTATGGCCCTGGGTCCTGGGTAAACCTATGGTCAATGGGTTCATTTCCAGCAGACGGAGGTAATACATACTCCCCATGACTGGGACCAGGAATAGATCCACAAAACCAGGGTTTTTATGGATGATATAAAACGGGGTTTAATATATAATGGGGAATAAATACTGTATTTTACTGTATTGATATGTTACAATCTCCAGGGTTGGTCATGGGGAAGTTAATACTTGTTGGCAAATAAGATCAACATACCGCATTCCCAATAACTTTACCAAGACCCAAGGAGAGATTTGGTTTGATCAATCTGCAGTGCCCCTGTACCTCAGGTCGTTGGTGTCGGCAAAATGTTACCTGTTCAGTAGAGGGATTTTATATCACCCAGACCTATTGACCTGGGTGGTGGTAAGCCATAGATGTTGTTTTTTGCTGGGTGCCTACATAGATGCTTTCATCGACCATACATGACAGAAGTTGATAATTATGGGGACTCATCCCAAAAACATGCAAATTAATTATTAAATTGCCTCATTGAAAAACACACTTCATAGCGGAATCTCTTCTTGCCTCACCAAGGCGGAGTCATCGACACAGATTGTTGGCTTAATCATGCGCCTGATGCTTCCAGTTGTCCCAGTGTTGTTTTTCAGCATTCCAATGGAGTCCCCATCAAAAAGAGAAAAAAAACATCGGAATCCACCATCAGATACTATATAATCATATAATATCATATAGTTATATTCATATATATTCACATAATCCTCCATCAGATACTTAACCTGGCCAGGACGCAGTCTTTTTTGCACCGGCGCAGGTTGCTTCCCAGCTGGATGCACGACAGCTGGCGCTGATGTTCAACGCTTTCGTGAAGGTGGGTAGCATTCGTAGATGTCCGACTCAAATGCAAAGAAATACGATTGTTAATGATTTTGTGGTTGGGTATATATATATATATTATTATATACTGTATATACATATTTGTGAGATGATATGGATTGTACAAAATGCATGCTAATGTGTGCATATTATCTATATTGTACATATCACTGAATTCCTGGAATAGCATTGTTTACCATTGTTTCTACATGCATATAGATATAGACTCTATTGTAGACACATACAAATATGCATATATACTCATACATATATATATATATACATATACAAATACATTTATATAAGCATCTTATATTACTTATATATTCACATGTCTTTTTGTATTGCACACGATGTTGCTATGGATGGTGCGATGGCACCGCACCAGGCGAAGCATTTGGACATGGAGCTATTCCAACGCTTGCTGAAACAGGCGGTGAAAGCACCGGATTTCATGGGTGAGGCTTAAAACTGGTGAGTTTCTTCATCTTCAGTAACACCAGTAAGTGTTGACATAGTTAGTGTATGTCAGTGTTTTTTCTTTACGAATTGGATGAACATGTTCTATTTGAGATTCTATCTACTACTGTAGCCTCAATCTGGGCAAATTATAACGACCTCACTGTTCTCCCACACTGGAATCATGGTTTTTATATGGGGAATCATCCCAAAATGGCCCAACATTTCAGGTTAGTGAGTTATTATAATTTACCATAGCCTCAATCCATATTTCGAAACATGGACAGAACACCATGCCATTCCGCGAGGTCCCCCGAAAGATTGTAAAGTTCACCGCGAAGGAGTCGCAGTTGGTTGGTACATAGCTGGGATGAGGGAAACGACTCATGTTGCCCACCATGGTAAGTGATTCATTTCTGTATATGATTATATGATCATGAATTGTGGCTTTATGCCAGCGATATAGAATGATATAAATGTTCACTCACTCAGTAAGTGTTTAATCCACAATTAACCCAGGGCGAGTCATTGTGCCTGCAAGGACGCAGCCATTCTGCTGAACGTTGGGAACCTCGGGCGGGGCAGGTGCTTATCCATGGTTTGCCCTAGTTGTGTTGGTTGCATGAATTACATTAATTACATTGCATCACGTTACACTGAATTGCATCCAGGATTGCATTACATTGCACTACATGCATTATGCAATTATAAACATACATGAAGTAAACAGATACATTACATGAAGTACACACACACACTACACTAGTCACTACACTACACTACACTACCCTAAACTACACTACATTACACTACACTTCACTCCACTCCACTACACTGCACTACACTACATTGCACATCCATACCTCTGTATATCATACATCCGTATATCCGTGCATACATGCATATGTAAATACCCACCTCCTACAAACCCTCCAACCTCCCTCCATCCATACATACATAATGAATATTATATGAATATAACATATTTAAAAAGCGATATCATTGGATATAATTGACTTGGGGCCACTATTATTGTAGTATGCTTCGTGTTGAGTTCCCTGTGACCTCCCTCAAGAGACTATAGGCCTTGGCGCAAGTGCCCGCGTTTCAGGACCGGTTGGGGACGTGATGTGCCGCAATATCAGTGGCTGTCTTGAAGCCCTTTTCTTGGTTTAATCAAAGCTTATTTTGCCCTTCAATTTTGTTCATCAATGTGTATATGTGCATTGCATATAATGTGTAATGTTCAGATACATATATATATATTAAAGTATAGATGATTATAGATGATTATAGATGATTATAGATGATTATAGATGATTATAGATGCTACCGGCTACCGTATATTCAGTCTTTCTTCGTACTGATTGCAGGACTGGGAAGCTGCAGAGGAAGCTGAAGAACTGAAGAAGGCTTTGGAGGTGCTGAAGGCATGTTTGTCTCAGGGCCGCTTCTCAAGGTTCATTGATGTTTTTTTTAGTTTAACAGACTTGTGATTTAAGGGTTACCCATATTTACCCGCTTCATTGATGCTCATTCGAATATTCGTTCATATTCAGTAGAACTTAAAATTGTGTTCAGTTGAATTTTTATACGATGTTCTAGACATTTACCCAGTAACTGGGGAATATCATTGATGTTCTTGGATGCTTTTCCTTAGAACAAGGTGGACATTGCCTCAACATGTTGGGGATTTGTTGTTTCTCCTATGTTTTGGCCTGGAAAATGGGTTGGCCCGGCCAAATGACATACGAGAAAGACATCTTGATATGATAAAGTATATTTTATAATATATATAATATATATATATAATATATATATATATATATAATATATATATATAATCTGGGTCAACCTTGGTTAGATACTTTAGTACTTTGGCAGGTATCTAAGATTCACCCTGTATTTACTGGGTATTATATGTTCAATATTGTTCAATCATGTTTTCCCGTGCATTCAACTACAAGATCGCCACAGATGGGTCCTGATCGTAGGTCATTTCCCTCCGTCTTCCCGAGCTACTTCCCAGCGCCGACCTGCACTCGCCGCTGGGACTAGCAGTGGATCCATTCCAAATGGATCCACGGAGGTGTAGGGTGTGCATGCTTGAAATCTGGCTAAGATCGTATAAGTGTATATGCACCACCAATAATGTCCTTTTGGTAAAAATAGAGGGGCCGGTTTGGTATACCATCTATCATCATTTACCTGTTGTTAAAGGGGTAAACAAACCCCTCTATTAATCAACCAACCAATGGGAAAAGGACATCTATGCACATCATATACGCACAGAAATAAGGCGAAATGAGATGAACATTTTGTGTATTTGCATGCATTTGCATATAGATGTGGACACATGTTGTTTTCTTGCTTTTGGGACTCCCCTTACAGAAATCAGTTTCCCAATCTGTTTTCACTCATGGCAACGGAACAGCTGGGGGATCCCGTGAGAAGGACCCAAAGGCACCTGGTAAGCATGCGCTGCCTTTTTGGAACGGTGGAAAGCTTGACCGCTGGGAAGTTTTAACAATCATACCCCTTTCTAACCAAGTGCCACACAAATTGTTGACTCACAGGGGGTCACAGGCGCAGCCCTTTGATCATGCTTGTCAATTGGGATCCTCCTATGGTGTGCCCCAAGAGAATGGGGGGGCTGGAGCAAATCCGCAGGATTTCTGAAATAAAATGGGGTCAGACCCCAGCATTTTATCTTTTGAGGGGCCTAACCCATAAAGTTAACTGACAGCTGATGGGTTATCAAACAGGATGGAGATGTCACCCACGACGGTCTCCTGAAGCGACTCTCCTGAAGCTCTGATTAGGCTAATTCCTAACTATTAGGTGATTTTACTTTGGAAGGTGTTCTATCTATCAGTTAGTTAAATGAACAATCTACATTTGTTCAGATTGTTTCTTTGAAGTGCATATTTGTTTATTAACAACCTCAAACACGTTCAACATTTAGTGGATATAATGGCAAACGAAAGTTCAAAGATGATTAAAACTTAAAACAATTCAAATAAGAAAGCAAGATCAACCCAGAGAAAAAAATGCCGGGGGCCCATGTCCAACAGTTGCCAGGTGGGGGGGCCTGACGTCATATTCTCTTAGTACCTGTCCAGTGTGTCTTGCTTGGATTATCCTATCTTACCTTATGCCCAATTATTTTATCTACATTTTGTTCTTAGGCCCCTGCATGTTTTTTTTTTAGGGGTCCCACCCCTTCCCCTGGCACCACAAGGAGATAATTGGGGCATATGCCACCACCATTTATACGGGAGATCTTTGTCCGCATGGTGGTGTCTGTTTCTGTCCATTGCTGGGGTGTGGTTTAATCCCTATAAGGTAACTAAACCATACTAAACCCACTGAAATGGATTCCTACTGGCGTTGGAAATGGCGTCAGGTTGGCCCTGATTATGAATGCCTTTGCTCAGCTTCAGTACGTCCAGAAGGATTTATTGGATTTGCTGAGCCAGGACCCGGACCGGCGCTGAACCAAGGATATGAAAAAATGAGGCCAACTGACTTTGATTGTTTTTTTTGGGGTGAACAAAAAAGCAACACAAACCACGACATGTACTAGTTTTGATACCAGTTGGATGTTCTTTTCACACCTGAAAGGAAACAATGGTTGTTTTTTGTTTTTGAACCACTGGGTGGTTTGTTGTTAGGTTTGTCACGTTGCATAACTTCAGGCACCCCCCCAGATTCTTTCAGTTGGAGGGTCAGGTTTATCAGTAGTTTTCTATCACCAAAGATAAGATCGGGATTTTGGTTATCAAACCAAAATTGAACTCCCCACAAGCATTTCCATGGATGCCTTTGCCAACCTTACATTATGTAGCCTTACATGCTTACCAGAAGGCCAATCGCCAATGATAAATTCGAGTTGCAACTGAAAATCGTGATCATACTTAGCAACCCCACTGACGATGTCTAATTGATTGTGTATAGATAGATGCATGATGATGCATGACTATATACCCACAATATACCACAATTGTTACATGCAGATACATATATGTCAAAGTATATTTGAAGCAAGAACATGTAAACATATCGATGGTGTCTGTCTTGTGTCCCGAATTGGATGTGCAAGCACGTACACCCTTGTTTTGCACACAGATGTCCTAATATGATCCAATATGTACATCTGCCTACCAACACTTTTTATCTCCAAAACCACGACTCCATCTTCGCTTAACACAGCCATCTTGCATGAGTTATATATCAACCGGACGGGCGGTTTGCAGATGACATCAGATGACTCAGGAGCTGCTGCTGAACCAGGAAAAGCTGACAAAGTTCAGTCCCATTCAATTGGCCATGGTTTTGAATGCCATTGCCAGGCCGGTGGAATTGTCGTGACGATGCTGCAAAACCATGAGAAGTGGAATATATGAATTGAATTGAAATGAAAGCGAAAGATGGTTTCATTTGAACACATCTTAAATCGAATGAAGTGGATTGATTGAAATGATATTGCGCACGATGTCTTGCAGTGCGATGCAATGGACTTGGTCAGAGAAAGGCTTCAATCAACCCAGCCCCATGATGGTCAATGCTGGCTGCATTCATGTTTGGGAAACCCTTACTGTACATCACGTCTTAGTGAATACCTTTACAATGAATGGAAAGTAAAGATCTAATTCGAGCTTCAAGATTGGTTCATACTATGGACCCTGTTGGTGCAATTTCTGATAATGTATGCAGATTAACGACGAGAACGAAGCACATTGGAAGCCATCCTGCTAGATGTCATTTTCCCACTGGTTCGGTCATAGAGGGGTAATCCCCACGTTTCACGACCAACAATATTGTAATAGGATCCCTTTCATAGTAACCCTCATAAAGTCTATCAACCTGGGTGAAGTTATTCAGGTATACTCAGGTCCATTCATGAAATCATAACCAAACATGTTTATATAAAAGTATCTAAGATTTTATAACATTCGGATTTGTCATGTTATAAAACCAGCCTTTCGGAATTATTTCTTTATAAACCCAAACCAGAGAGGTTTGTCATTGCCACCCTGGTGGTCTGCCTTAGATCATCTCAATGGACTTTCCTTCAAACAAAAATGGAACCATTGGCGAATGTTAGTGATATATCATATATCCCATTCATATTCCATATCCCACTATATGTTTCTATTTAAATCCATTTAAATCCTATATATATATACATATTAGTTTAAAAACCATCTTCCCTATAAATTCCTCTAGTGATTTGTTTCAGAAAGGATATATTTGTGGCCATCCATTTGGGAGGTTGCAACTGCACGAACCGAAGCTGGTGGAGTTGTTAGCTTCGGCTGTGCGCAGCGGCGCGCACGTTCGGAAGCCCGAGATTTGGGGCGAGATCTGGGAGTACATAGGATGATAGTAGGATGATAGTGTTATTGTTTACCATCTGGCTTAACTATGGTTTATGATAGATATAACTATAGTTAATGGGAAAATGATGATCATATATTATACCATCTGGTATTGACTGTTATTGGTTTACCATCTATTGGAAAATCACCATTTTCAATGGGTAAATATCCATGAAAATCGTGGTTAATTTAAGGGCTGCCGCCCCTGCCGCCGACCCCGGAAAAAACTTTTTGGTGCTTCGCACCTTGAGGCTTTCGCCCTTTTTCCTATGTATATTGTTGTGAAATATATTTGATAGGTTGGAACTTGTATTTGTAAATGGGTTTTTCATTTGGGTGTATGTTAATATTATGATCCTATGTTTTTATGGGTTCATGGATCTAAGTAACTGTATAATAGTTATATATATATACATATACACGATATTTTCGGCCATATTATTATACAGCTAGTGTTGCGCTGCACAGGTGCATGGTTGCGCCGCACAGGTGCATGATATTTTATGAAAGTATACGGGGCCCTTGTTTTTTTTGATCCCCCACCTTGTTTTTTGACCTCCCCCGTGTTTTTTTGACCCCTCATGAATGAAATCCTGAATGAAACTCTATTCTTGACCCCTGCTGCTGCTGCTGGTGATAGTTTTCAACCAGTTTTTGTACCACTGTTTGTAAAATGAGACATAGAACCCTCCTGCTGCTCCTGTTGCTGCTGCTGCTCTTCCTCCCGAGGCTGAAAACGCACCCTGCCGGACGGGGAAACACAGTGGCCCTGAAGGACGGAGCAGCGCCAAAATCGAGCCCAAAAAGTGCCTAACGTCCCTTCTGAAACCCTAGAAAAACAATATAGTTTTGGACAAGGTTTTATAGTTTTCGACCAATTTTTATACCACTGTTTGTACAATGAGACATAGAACCCTCCTGTTGCTCCTGTTGCTGCTGCTGCTCTTCCTCCCGAGGCTGAAAACGCACCCTCCCGGACGGGGAAACACAATGGCCCTGAAGAACGGACCAGCGCCAAAATCGAGCCCAAAAAGTGCCTAACGTCCCTTCTGAAACCCTAGAAAAACAATAGTTTCGGACAAGGTTTTATAGTTTTCAACCAATTTTTATACCACTGTTTGTACAATGAGACATAGAACCCTCCTGCTGCTCCTGTTGCTGCTGCTGCTCTTCCTCCCGAGGCTGAAAACGCACCCTCCCGGATGGGGAAACACAGTGGCCCTGAAGGACGGAAGAGCGCCAAAATCGAGCCCAAAAAGTGCCTAACGTCCCTTCTGAAACCCTAGAAAAACAATAGTTTTGGACAAGGTTTTATAGTTTTCAAGCAATTTTTATACCACTGTTTGTACAATGAGACATAGAACCCTCCTGTTGCTCCTGTTGCTGCTGCTGCTCTTCCTCCCGAGGCTGAAAACGCACCCTCCCGACGGGGAAACACAGTGGCCCTGAAGGACGGAACAGCCGCCAAAATCGAGCCAAAAAGTGCCTAATGTCCCTTCTGAACCCTAGAAAAACAATAGTTGCTGCTGCTGCTCTTCCTCCCGAGGCTGAAAACGCACCCTCCCGGACGGGGAAACACAGTGGCCCTGAAGGACGGAACAGCGCCAAAATCGAGCCCAAAAAGTGCCTAACGTCCCTTCTGAAACCCTAGAAAAACAATAGTTTTGGACAAGGTTTTATGGTTTTCGACCAATTTTTATACCACTGTTTGTACAATGAGACATAGAACCCTCCTGTTGCTCCTGTTGCTGCTGCTGCTCTTCCTCCCGAGGCTCAAAACGCACCCTCCCGGACGGGGAAACACAGTGGCCCTGAAGGACGGAACAGCGCCAAAATCGAGCCCAAAAAGTGCCTAACGTCCCTTCTGAAACCCTAGAAAAACAATAGTTTTGGACAAGGTTTTATAGTTTTCGACCAATTTTTTTACCACTGTTTGTACAATGAGACATAGAATGAGACATAGAACCCTCCTGTTGCTCCTGTTGCTGCTGCTGCTCTTCCTCCGGAGGCTCAAAACCATAGAACCCTCCTGCTGCTCCTGTTGCTGCTACTCTTCCTCCGAATGCCGAACATAACTTCTGAAACCCATAGAAAAGAAGAAGGATGGAACGACCTCCAAAAACATGCTCCCGAGGCTTGACGTCTCTTCTGGATTCTGGTAAAAACAAAGCGCCTGCTGCTGCAGATGCTTTTGCTGCTGCTGCTGCTGCTGTTGGTCCTCGGATGGGAACATAACAGCTGCTACTGCTGCTCCTGCTGCTGGTGCTGCTGGAGCAGGTGCTGCAAGCCTCCGAAACACACCCTTCGCCACACCGAAACACTGTACTGCAGCTGCTGCTGCTGCTGGTGATAGTTTTCAACCAGTTTTTGTACCACTGTTTGTAAAATGAGACATAGAACCCTCCTGTTGCTCCTGTTGCTGCTGCTGCTCTTCCTCCCGAGGCTGAAAACGCACCCTCCCGGACGGGGAAACACAGTGGCCCTGAAGGACGGAACAGCGCCAAAATCGAGCCCAAAAAGTGCCTAACGTCCCTTCTGAAACCCTAGAAAAACAATAGTTTTGGACAAGTTTTTATAGTTTTCGACCAATATTTATACCACTGTTTGTACAATGAGACATAGAACCCTCCTGTTGCTCCCGTTGCTGCTGCTGCTCTTCCTCCCGAGACTGGAAACGCACCCTGCCGGACGGGGAAACACAGTGGCCTGAGGGACGGAACAGCGCCAAAATCGAGCCCAAAAAGTGCCTAACGTCCCTTCTGAAACCCTAGAAAAACAATAGTTTTGGACAAGGTTTTATAGTTTTCGACCAATTTTTATACCACTGTTTGTACAATGAGACATAGAATGAGACATAGAACCCTCCTGTTGCTCCTGTTGCTGCTGCTGCTCTTCCTCCGGAGGCTCAAAACGCACCCTGCCGCTGAGGGACGGAACGCTGCAAGCCTCCAAAACACACCCTTCGCCACACCGAAACACCATGCTACTGAAGGATGGAACGACCTCCAAAAACATGCTGCCCCGGGGCTTGACCTGCTGCTGCTGCTGCTGCTGGCTGCTGGCTGCTGCTGCTGCTCCCGCTGCTGCTGCTGGTGGTGTGTGCCCCGAAGAACAACATTTTTGCAGCTACTGCTGTTGGTGGTGGTGCAGGCGTCCGCTGCGCTGCTGTTGCAGCTATTCTTGCTGTTCCTGCTACTGTACTGCAGCTGCTGCTGCTGCTGCTGGTGATGCTGGTTGCCTAACGTCCCTTCTGAAACCCTAGAAAAACAATAGTTTTGGACATGTTTTTATAGTTTTCAACAAATTTTTATACCACTGTTTGTACAATGAGACTATAGAACCCTCCTGCTGCTCCTGTTGCTGCTGCTACTCTTCCTCCCGAGGCTCAAAACGCACCCTCCCGGACGGGGAAACACAGTGGCCCTGAAGGACGGAAGAGCGCCAAAATCGAGCCCAAAAAGTGCCTAACGTCCCTTCTGAAACCCTAGAAAAACAATAGTTTTGGACAAAGTTTTATAGTTTTCAACCAATTTTTATACCACTGTTTGTACAATGAGACATAGAACCCTCCTGTTGCTCCTGTTGCTGCTGCTGCTCTTCCTCCCGAGGCTGAAAACGCACCCTCCCGGACGGGGAAACACAGTGGCCCTGAAGGGACGGAACAGCGCCAAAATCGAGCCCAAAAAGTGCCTAACGTCTCTTCTGAAACCCTAGAAAAACAATAGTTTTGGACAAGGTTTTATAGTTTTCAACCAATTTTTATACCACTGTTTGTACAATGAGACATAGAACCCTCCTGTTGCTCCTGTTGCTGCTGCTGCTCTTCCTCCCGAGGCTGAAAACGCACCCTCCCGGGCGGGGAAACACAGTGGCCCTGAAGGACGGAACAGCGCCAAAATCGAGCCCAAAAAGTGCCTAACGTCCCTTCTGAAACCCTAGAAAAACAATAGTTTTGGACAAGTTTTTATAGTTTTCGACCAATATTTATACCACTGTTTGTACAATGAGACATAGAACCCTCCTGTTGCTCCTGTTGCTGCTGCTGCTCTTCCTCCGGAGGCTCAAAACGCACCCTGCCGGACAAGGAAACACACTGGCCCTGAGGGACGGAACGCTGCAAGCCTCCAAAACACACCCTTCGCCACACCGAAACACCATGCTACTGAAGGATGGAACGGCCTCCAAAAACATGCTGCCCCGGGGCTTGACCTGCTGCTGCTGCTGCTGGCTGCTGGCTGCTGCTGCTGCTGCTGGCTGCTGCTGCTGCTGGCTGCTGCTGCTGCTCCCGCTGCTGCTGCTGGTGGTGTGCTGCCCCGAACAACATTTTTGCAGCTACTGCTGTTGGTGGTGGTGCAGGCGTCCGCTGCGCTGCTGTTGCAGCTATTCTTGCTGTTCCTGCTACTGTACTGCAGCTGCTGCTGCTGCTGCTGGTGATGCTGGTGCTGGCGTCTGCTGATGCTACTGCTGCTGCTGCTGCTGCTCCTGCTGCTGGTGCGGCTAAACTTGCTTGTCTTTGCTTTACTTCTCCTGCTGCTGCTGCTGCTGCGCCTGCTGCGGTAGTAGTCCGAAACAAGGCTGAAAACGCACCCTCCCGGACGGGGAAACACAGTGGCCCTGAAGGACGGACCAGCGCCAAAATCGAGCCCAAAAAGTGCCTAACGTCCCTTCTGAAACCACTGCAGCGGTAGTAGTCCGAAACAAGAATCCAAAGTATTATTCCCTGGCGCGCTCCCCCTTGCGTCTGCCGGGGTCGGCGGATATATATATATATATATATATATATATATCGCTTACATATTATCGATATACCCAATATATACCCAATATATATATATATATATATATATATGGTCCCGTCCTCCGTCTCTCCACCCCCCCCCCTCCCCCCCCCATGGGTTGGGTCCCCAGGTAGCAGCCCCCCTTCCCTTCTATTTGCAAGCTATTGGCAGCATTTCTGAGGTCCAGCTTCGTATTTGCTAGGTCTTTGCAGTATTTCTGACTACCAGCCTCGCATTTACTAGCTACATGCTACCTTTTAGGCGACCTACGTAGCACATATACTCCTTGAAAGTACCTACGTGCTACCTATAGTCATATATACATGTGCTATGTATCTACTGTATCTACTTCCTATTTACTACCTGTGTACTCTCACAACACCACCTGTGTTTAACATATACCGTACCGAACAATCAATCAATGATGCCATGCATACCATACCTATCATACCTATCATACCTATCATATCTATCATACACACCATACATACCATACATATGAAATGTAATTACCACACCTACGATACATACAATAGCAAACATACATGCCATACATACCATACATACCTTACATAGGAAATATGCCATACCATCATAGTAATCATACATACCATACAGACCATACATACTGTCATATCAAACATACCATACCCAACAGACTTACATACCATACCTACCATCCATACAATACCAACCACTCATGCCATACATACCATACCTACCAAACATACCATACTTTCCAAACATGCCATACCAGACCGACCATACACACCATACATACCCAACATACCATACCACACCCCCACCACACCACAGGGGGGGGAGGGGGACAGCGCCACACCGCCACCACACCACAGGGGGGGAGGGGGAAGATCTCATATGGGGCCAGTATATGGGACCCATCCCATGGGGGGTGGGGGGAGGGGGGGGGTGGCAGGGCCTGGTGCATATATATATATATATATAAATATATAAATATATGTAAATATATATATATAAATATATATATATAAGTATATATAAATATATAAATATATACCCTCTGGTAATTTAACATAGCTATTGAAAATCACCATTTTTAATGGGTAAATCAACTATAAATGGGCCATTTTCAATAGCTATGTTAAATTACCAGAGGGTAAATTATATATATATATAAGCTGCTGGCTACTGGCCATTGCTCGTCTTTGCTTGTCTTATTCCCTGGCGCGCTCCCCCTTGCGTCTGCCGGGGTCGGCGGATATATCATAATATATCTATAGTCTAGTGATTAATAAGGGGAATACATATGGTTTACCATCTGGTTATTTAACATAGCCATGGAAAATCACCATTTTTAATAGGTAAACAGTCTATAAATGGGCCATTTCCCATGGCTATGTTAAATAACCAGAGGGTATTATTATTGTTATTATTATTAGCATTTATTAGCATAATAACCTACTATCATCCTACTAATCATAATGGGATAATAATGGGATGATACTGGGATAATTATAAAGAATCTAATGGGATTTATTGTGGGATAATAATGGGATAATAACATGTAATGGGATGATTTTTATAAACAATCCCATCCCCCTAGTATTGAAGATCCCCATTCTATGGCATTCTATGGTCCCAAATATGTGTAAATCTCCTACAAAAACCATGCTTACTTTAGGGGGGTGTTTGAGATTAGGGGGATGGGATTGAGCCATATTGAGCCATCTTGAGCCTGGCTTCATCAAAATGTTAGAGACTCATCTATAGAAGGTGATACCCTTTGGTTATGACTAACAGTTCGCCATGGTATAGATGGCCCATAGAAATAGATGGTTTACCTGTTAAAAATGGTGATTTTCCATGGCGAACTGTTAGTCATAACCAGAGGGTTGAATTATGTGATATCTACCACAAAGCATCGAAATCACCACGGCCACACCATGTTTTTTTTGCGCCCCAACAACGCCATCGCGCACTTTGCTGCGACGGCGAAGGCTTTGGACCCCCAGGCCTTCTGTTTGGTGGCCAATGCTTCTGCCAAGCTTCAGACCCTCGGTTGAAGACTGAAGTTCTGAAGGGGACCCCTAGTTAGTTATAGGTTTACAATGGTTTATAATCCCACCTAACTATAGGTATATCCCGTATAAACCCAGCAGTTCACCTAGTTAAAAGTCAACTTAGCTAACTATGGGCTCCTTCCCTGTAGCCATTATAGATTTATAGGGTATGAACATCCATGTGGTATTTGGAAAATCCAAGTGATCATTGAAAGGATTCCCAAGTGCATTACCATGCTTTTTGGCCGGTATTAGTATAGATAGTCACGTCATGATGATTGCTGGTGAAAGGGTCAAGATCGGTGGGTGCTGCAAGATGTTGATAAATACGTCGATCATATTGCCATAAATGGGAACAATTTCCTCACCATGTTTGTTTCTCTGCAGGGTATCTAAGATTGGCCATGATATGCCATGATTATATGGACCCCCAATTGCTGTTTATTTTTTCTTGCTGTTATATGCTCACCGTCATTGGACCTCTACCTGCTGCGTTTTTTTTGAAGGTGCCGTGAATTGCCAAGCCGTGGTCAAATCTTAAATGGCTGTGTTGATGGGGACATGCTGATTAACCATGAACCAACAATCATCAAATTTTGGGGTACGTTGCTTACGCCCCATATGGGGGTGGGTCAAAACCTATTATTATCAATTCTAATGGGATGAACATCCATTTACCAGCTATTTTGGGGTTCACTAGGTGCCAGGGTTTTGACCAATAGCCATATGTTTCTGTGGTATACACCCTGCCATGGGATCCCTATCTACGCAGGTTTGTCTGAAGATATGATATCCCAAAATCCCACCGTTGATCATTATTACCACCATTAAAGTTGCTGTAACTTGGGGTTTTGTTATATCCACCAGTTTTGAAAAAAAACACGGTGTTAATCTACCTAATACCATGCTTCCATTTGGTCATATTAGCTCATATTTTCCAGATAATTCCTACATGTTTTCCATGATATGATCACCATTTGTAGCTTTAACCTTTGCTCCTATCCCCAGACATCACCATGATCGTAGTTAATACTTAATTCACGATCATTGCAAAAAGCAATATTCATGATTCATATTATTCATGGGTGAAATACAAATTGATCAATCCTGCTTTTGGCCTTTGAATATCTTTGGGACAAACCGATTGACATCTGGGTTTGACTGGAAATGTGGTGCCCCAAAACATCCCAAATTCCTATGGCTAATCATCATTGTCTCCATTAACATTGCAATCTTGGGTGTATACTCCCATTCTCAGACACGCCTCTTACAAGGTGATGCCCCCAGTTATTCGTTGGTTTTTATAACCCCATGCCCAGAACCCCAACCCATCTCATCATGTTATGCTGGAAAAATATACTGTATCCCATGATATCCCATGAAATATTCCTATGAAGTATCCCCATGTCAGGGTTGCTCCAACTCATTGTGTATATATATATATATGGGTAGGTAAATGACATATATCCCCCATTTTCCCATTATATCAATGACATATCCCCATGTCAATTGTTGGATGCCAAAAGCTCTGAGGTTAGGCCTTGATACCTTCCAAGTCCTCTACGCGCGCTTGCCGAAAGTCCTGAGTCGCCTCAGCGGGCGGCAGCTGGTGACGTTGGCGTCATTTCGTGGGGGTACCTTTTGGTTCACGATAATGTGGGTTAAAGAATGCAATAAACCCCCAGTCATCACCATTTTTATAGGTATTTTGTTTAACCATTCCTAAATGGGTGGTTTATGACATTGTGTTGCCCACATTAATGTAATTGAATAGTGTTTAATAATCATGGCTTTGCAATAGTTGATGATAGTTAATGGCAAGAGATGCATTTGAGTGTATGAATGTACCCTACTAGGATGTGCATCCCACTTAGTAAGTGGTTTATAAACCATATATATAAGCCATATAATCCCATATGTAATATGTAATAGGAGATATTCCATATATAACTGGGAGTATAAGCCATTTGCCTAGTGGGATGCACTACCGATTTATTGGAGGGACTTCCAGTTTAGGGTCCTGAAATTCCCATCTAAAGAGTAACTGTCTTACAAAACCTCCAACATGTAACAATAGACAATTGGATAGTGGCTTGCCAAAGTGTAAGACAAACCCAAACCCAACTAATTTGCTATTAAATGGGGAGTTTTTGGTGGGATGATGGCTGGTGTTTGGCGTCTCCGATTGCGGGAATGATCCCGACTGTTGGATGGCACTTGAGGAGTCCACCGGAGAAAAGAGATCTGCGATTCTGGGAGTGTTTCTGGATATTTCAGAATATTTTTAGTGATATGTTTATGAGATTTCTATAGATTTCTCATATGCGATATAGCCTGCTTGGCGGTTTGGGACATGTTATTTCTCCAAATATTGGCACTAATAATCCCAGCTGAGGCGATGGTTTGTCACGCCTGGGCAAAGGCACCCACATCTTTGCCGGTGTTGCCATTGCCATTTTCAACGGTCTAAAAAGGTCCATTGGCATTGTGGTACATACTATGAATATATACTGGAAACACAAAAGAATACTGGCAAATACTATGAATTGGTAAATACTATGGAAGAACCATCATGTTCAAAGAAACACGTTTGTATCAGGGGGAATATATACTAAAAACATCAGGAAACAATAGCGACGTTCTAAAGCATGACCTTTTGAATGAGGAGTCAATGAGGAGCCATGTGAAATGGTATATATATATACATACATATATATATATGTATAACTTATTTCACTGGTCAAAAAAAACACCATAGGATAAACCTGGAGATTTTGATTTCATCACCCAGCATTAGATTATGGCTACGGCATGGGATAGACCACCACGGGCAACGATTCTGACTTTTGCCTGGACGAATGCACACAGCTGCACACATATGTACAATATATTATAATATGATAATAGCATAAGATTTAGATATGTAACCATATGTAATATTGTAATATATTGTACATATTGTAATATATTGTTATAACAGATAGCACATAACATTTAGATATGTAACCATATGTACGTATCTATCTGTTTATGTGTGTTTTATTCCCCAGACATCGGGGCCATGGCCATGATCTTCCCCGTGATCCATTGGAAGATTTTTGGTGATCCGTTGGAGTTTGGGGCATCAAATTTTGGACAAAGCCAGCTTTCTATACTTACACTCATGTGCATATGCACATACCCATACCCATAGGATCCATGTATGGTATATACGGTATATATACTAACATTGGGGGTATATTGATGGTAAATGTTACCATATATATAGCATACATGGATCCTATGGGATACATAGACATGAATAGACAATCATAAAAATATAGACATATACACATTTGAAATTGTGCGTGTATTTGCATATACATGCATGCATGTGTGGTGACGCTCCACCATAAGTCCTGAATTGATTTAGAGAAAATGTGCAAGAGTCCCGCTTCTGTTTGGCTGCAAAGAAAACTACTGTCCTACAAAGTTTCCCCTCAATTGTTTCATTGTCTAGCCAAAGGTCTCCGTTTCTTTGATCAAACCATCATGTTTCATGATCATCTGATCAACGCATATTTTTCTCTCATTTGTGCAATGGTTCGATCACAAAATCCCTATTTTGATGGTTACCCTCTTGCAATTCTACAGTTTGCTGTGAACAAATCACCATTGTTCTCATAGGCCATGGCAATTTATCGAACTAAATGAGCCATTTATACCATAGCAACCGTAACCTGTTAAATGGCCGACGAATGACATTCCATTGGTAAGCAACAATTGATTCGATTGTTTTTTCAGCTATAAACCTCCCTATAATCCTAATTATCCCCATTATATATATATTATGTGTGTATACATATATATATATACAGATGTATATACATATATATATAGACACCACAATTATACCACCAATTTGGTTCATTACCCTGGCTAAACTAACATAGATGTAGAACACCCAGAGTTTTGCTAGGAAAATGATTTCCAAATGGTGAGTTTTTCCACATCGATGAATACGTTTACTGGATGGTATCTGAATTTATTCCACATGGATGCCATTGCAGTGCCACGTGGATACTTATAAGGGGGTTATCCCAACTTATGGTGCTGTCAAATCCCATGGTTTACCAACTTACAGCTTCCATATATATATATATATATATATGTAATGTAATGTTATGTTATGTTATGTTATTGTATTGTATGGTATGGTATGGTATGTATGTATGTATGTATGTATGTATGTATACATATATTTATATGTTATCTTCATGTCCTATTTATAAGGGTTTTATCCCAAGCCATGGTGGTTATTTCACAATGTTTTTTTTTTTCGAAACAGTAACCACGGCAGGCGCATATCCACAACGACGATCTCTTCGAGCTCCTGGCCCTGCCTTTGGCCTCGCATGCTGCGAAGCTGGAAGCCCATGAGGTGCGACAAAACATGGGAAAATCCATTGGAAATCCATCAAAAATGGAGGTTTCTAGTAGTTTCTAGCTGGGAAAATCATCAAAAATGGAGGTTTCTAGTAGTTTATAGCTGGGAAATTCATCGATACAATGGGTTTCATTCGCTTTAATATCGTTGAATAGGAATATTCAGAAGTGAAAATCTCTTAGGGGATATTTATATAGTGGGAAATTCATCTATAATATGGTTTAATAGTCAGAACAATGGGATGATAACGGGATATACATGGGATATACCCTCTGGTAATCAAACGTGGCTGGAAATCCCCGATGATGCACTGTTCGGCATCTTTTTCGGGCTTACTATATATATATATAGTTCTGTCGATTGATATTTTTTATGTAAAGTCATATATACAGTACATATATATATATATACACAGTACACATATACATATATATATATATATAACATATATATATATAACATATATATGTATAACATATATATATATATATAACATATATATATATACATATATATATATATATGATATGGGCTTACACTATCCAAGTCTCTGGGAATTTGCACAATCCATTGGGAAATGCTAGAAAATCTGATCGTTTCGGCGCAATTTTTCCGGCATGACTTCGCCTTGACGAAGATTGTGACTCCCACGCAGGCCACGTTTTCATCTTTAGATGCAAATGACATGACACATGAAATGGAGAGAATATGAGAAAAAAAAAGTTGAGGTCCGTTGAGGTTCAATAGTTACAATATGTTTTATTCTTTGTCCTTCGAAACTAGCTCAAAACGCTTCTAAAACGCCAATTGTTTTCAAAACACACTCTCTAATTTCAAGCATGTTCAAGCATGTTCAAGCAATATTTACACACCCTGGCAATGCACATTCCAGGCCTGCCACACGAAATGCGCGTCAATTGAGACAACTGGGCGACGGGATGATCAAATCCTGAGTTTGGTTGATTGAATCCTTGCTTTTCGACAAGTTTCAATACGTTTATACACAAAATTGCTGCGGATGAACTGCGGATCAAGGTTCTTTACCCATGTTTGGACACAACCTTGACCAACTTGAGATAGCAGCCCCCGAAACAGTTGTTTTTTTAACAAACCATCGAACATAGTGATCTAAGATAATGATTACAATATCATTTAAATTACTAAGACGTTATACTTTTGATAAATACATAGTCAAAATGATGTCTTTGGGAAAGAAAAACCCTTTTGGGGGATGCCCAAAAAACCAGCTGCAGGTTGCCATTAGCATCTTTGCTTATGCGAGGAGCTGGCATGTTTGAGATCCTGGTCAAAGCATCTTTGGTAAGTAATGTGGGTAACAGAATGCAATAAAGCCCCAGTCATCACTATTTTTATAGTGGTAATTATAAACCAATCCCAGTCATGGGTGGTTTATGACATGGTTTTACCCACATTATGTGAAATATGGTGAAATGTTTGTATATAAATGAGTGGAAAGAACATATCAAAATTATCAAGGCGTAGACATATACAAATCTTGACACGTATAAGTTCGTATAAGTACAAGATATGAATATAGTATAAAGCATGATGTTAGGATGTATATGCGCCTACGTGTGTTTGTATGCATGTTTGTATGTAGTGTATGTAATGTGCATTTTATGTGTAATTCTGTAGTATGTATGTTTGGTTTGAGAGTTCAATTGCGTGTAGTGTATGTACTGTATGTAATATAATATGATAAACTATACATAATGAATGTAATAATGTAATTAATGACGTGGTCGTATGTATTGTGTGCTTTATGTATTAATGTATTAAGGTGTTAAGGCAGTAATGCTGTAGTGTATCTGTGTATTCAAGTAATGATATTATAATGTATGTATGCATGAATGTATGTGCATCTAGCGGTAGACACTGCATTCAGCACGCATTATCGGAAGAAATCCCGCTTGTCATTGTTTGTCACACGTATGGATACAAGGTCCTCCCAATTTGCCTAGGGATGTTCACTGTTCTGTCAATGTTCTTTTTGTCTGTTTTGGTGGCTAGAAATCATCCTTTTTATTATATCGAACATGTTTGAGGTATGAACGCTGAACGAGGCAGGCAGGGCACCCTTGAGAGCCAGGCATTTCCGGAAATCTCCGAAAGAACTCTTTGATGTGTTGCTGCTTGGCTCATCATCGACAACATGCAATGACCTTCAGGGAAGTAATGCTTAAGAAATATGTCTAGTGGCCTCACTGGCAAACCAAGCTAAACCTCGGGAAGATCATACATTCCTAACTTAAAAAATGTGTAGATGGCTAAAAACTCCACAACTCTCAACAATCGTATTTTGACGGGGCCGCTTTAGGGGTGGTTTTAGGTTTTAGGTGTTTGGCGATCCTTAAAGAATCCACAAAAGTCGCCGAGGTTGGAGCGATTCCGAAGTTTGTTGGCTGAGCAGGCGGGAAGACCACCTCTCCACGGTGCCAAATTTCTGGTTGATGGATAATGATAGATACAGATATACAAACAGCGGAGGGGAAACACCGGTATCTATATATATATATAATATATACATATCATATATATATAGTGTATTTGGAGATCATGTCACTTATATTCTTATAGTCTATTATTGGAATGGCATATAAAATGTGGTATGTTTCCAACTTTGCGCCTAAACATGTGAACAATGATCCACTGATCACTTCGCTTTCGAGTTTCCATGTATCTACGACCGACGGCGTGCGAAGACTACAGAGGTGTTGTTGTGCATGTCCCGAATATGAAGACAGTGGTTTGCCAAAATTCCGAAAGAAGACAACAAAGTACCTTAAATGTTATCGTTCTGCAATGCTTTGGTATTTGTTGTTTAGCATGTCATTCTCCGAATGCTTCAGTTCTTTCATAGGGCTCCACCATCCCAGTTGATCACCCAAAAATCACCCCACTGTCCCATGGATTTTCCCATGCCCAGAATGCAATATCCCCATGAAACAAATGATATAAACATCCCCATGAAATATCCTCATTATATGTATATATATATATAAATTTTATTTGTTTCCCCATGATGCATCCCCTGCTGAAATATCCCATGATATTAATGATATATATATATATATATAAGAAAAACTGGTGGTTTTATATCCCCCTGGTAACACAAGAGGACTTGGTGAGCTCGTCAGGTCGTCAGTGAGGAGGATTTGTTCATGGCTACTGGGCAGATGGGGTAGACCAAAGCGGAAAAAATGGGACGGCTTAGGACTTAAGAAACGTGTATGGAGTGGTTGAACTCAAAACCTCAATACAACAAACCCATATAAAATCATATAAAAACCCATATAAAAAACATGTAAAACCATATGAAACCCATATAAAACATATAACGTGATATAACATCATATAACATCATATAAAATCATATAAAATCTATGTCTATATACATATTTATATCAATTTAGTCGTAGAAACAAGACACATTTACAGGCCAATGAGAGTTGTGTTTGCTTAAATTTATTCGATGATTGTCGACACACATTTAGATATGATAAGTCTACTATAATGGTGGGCTAACGGTGGTATAATGGGGATATTTGGTATGACAGGATAGTGAGGCTTGTAGCCATGTTAGCTGGACAACTCATCGATGCCTTGGTTCAGAGCATTCCTGGTGTCATCAATCATGTTTGCGCCACTGCAGAGTGGGGCGGAACTTAGATGGCAATTTTTATCAGATACTACCCTCTAGTAGACTAACATAGCCATGGAAAATCACCATTTTTAATAGGTAAATCAACTACAAATGGGCAATGAATGTTCAATAGCTATGTTAATTTATCAGATATTACCCTCTGCTCATTTAACAGTTTGCTATGGGGTCGTTTTGGTTTACCTATTATTAAAATGGTGTTTTTTTTGTCATAGCAAACTGTAGAATTGCCAGAGAGTAGCCATCAAAATATGGATTTGGCGATTAAACCATTGGACATATGAGGGAAACATATGATTTGATCATCAAACATGATGGTTTAATAAACTAAACTGGATTTTTTGGCTAGACTCGACAATGGCACTTGGAAAATTGATGAACTTTGGCCAAACAAAAAGTATATCAATGTATCACATATGTGCCATGATCAATTGGATTGTATACCCTTTTTTGGGGATGGTCATCAATCCATTCACTTCGGGATTCCCATGGCATGAGATGGACGACCATACCACATTGGTCCCGTATGTAACTTGACCATGGCACATTGGTCAGATAGGTTGGTCAGTGTTTTACAAATCGGCTACCCTCTGGTAAACTAACATAGCTATTGAAAATTGCCATTTATAGTGAGTTGTCCCATTAAAAGTGGTGATTTTCCATAGCTATGTTAAATTGCCAGAGGGTATAAATGGATTATGAATGGAGAATCACGGTTGCATTGAGTTATATGGCGTGCTAATCAGATTTCACATGATATTACCCCTATGATGCCACAATTACTAAAACTTAAGTTGGGGGCATTTCATACTAAATGGATTCATTACCATTCATTACCATTACTAATACCATATTTCCATATATTACCATATTACCATATATTACCATATTTTACCATATATTACCATATATTACCATATTACCATACTAAATGGATATTAATATTACCATTAATATTATCATATTACCATAACAAAAATCCTTAAGATACCTCCGTCATGGTCCACCATGGTCCACCGAGGTGGTGAATGCTTTGGGCCGTACGGAGCGCCCAGATCCTACGGAGAGCGATTTCGGTACGATGCGACCGGAGTGAACCCCAAGAATCTGGGTTAATATGGGTTATTATGGGTTAATGGTATATATAATGGGTTATATAATGGGTTCATATAATGGTTAATCATAACCATTAATCTGGGTAAATTATAACGAAAAGATCTCCTGTACCTAAGCGCCATGGATTTGGCCACACGTAAGGCCAAAGCTTCAGCTCGACAGACCGGGTTTGCAAAAGCCCCTACCCCCATCACCGACAACAAGCGAAAATTATCTGAGTTCATGAATGAAGAGACAGACACGAGCTTTGCAGAGATCATTGACTCAGTGATTAATGACAGTTTTGTTGACGAAGTGTCCTGGCTAGATTCATCAGATATTGGCCTTGACGAGAAGTCGAGGATTCATGCTGCCAAGCCTCTGTATGAGTCATTGCACCCAGGATTCAACCCAGAGGTGATGGCCACAGTGGCGGGGGCTCTTGATGTATCCACAGGGGTGGTTGACACGACTCAAATCAAAACATTGAATGCGAATCACCATACTGCCTGGTATGTTGAATCGAAGAACACAAGCGAGGCTATGGTTTCCATGGCTGGGACGGTAGTCAAGATGGCCTTTGTTGATGCCTCGATGACTTCGGCACATCTTGAAAGAGAAGTTGCTTCGAAGGCCAAGGTCTGGGATCCGGCGGTGAAAGTGAAGTTCTACCTGATCAGAGCCTACATTCTCTGTTTGAATCTTTTTCAGACGGGCACCAACAAGGATGTGAAGTGGCTCACTGATGCAGATCAAGAAATCACCGGGGATTTTCAAACCTTCTCAAAGGTTGCAAAGACTTGTTTGACGACCGCATTCATCAAGGGTGTGCAGTTTCTCTTCTTTTTGCGGTCCTTGAACCATTATCGTTCTAGACACACAACTCTCGGAGACTTACTACCTTTGCCTCAGGTTGTGGCCATCTCGGCTGTGCTAGGGATCCAAGGGACTAAGACTGAGTTGGCAGAACATGATCAAGCGCTACATCACTTGGTTGTTTTACACAGCTGTCCATGCATGTGACCCAGCTACTTATCTGACAATGGCTCTGCCAAAGTTGGGAGTGAATCTCAGCTACAATCAAAGAGTCGTTATGTCTGAGCCTCGCCTGGGCAATTACGAGAAAATTCGATCTGCGGCATTTCCTGCAGGGACGGCAATTGTGGTGTTGGCTTACCAGTTTGTCCTCCGGCTTTTGGAGACTGGGCATGTCATCATGGTGGGGCAGCCTGACCTGATCATGGAAGCTCTATCTATGTTCAATATCGTCAAGAAAAGTGGTGCATCTGCTCACGTGGATGCCGCATATTATGGCAGGGTACCGGCTTCCATAGATACGCAGAAAGTCGCAGAGCTCCTTCCCTTCCTCAAATCATACTCGGAAGTCTTGGGTGGATGTAAGACCCTTGCCGCAAGCCCAAGAATCAGGAGCAGTGACATGAACAGGGCACCACAAGATTTCGAAGACCGCTTGACCGCTTTGAAAGCAACAATGGCTTCCGAGGAGCTGAGTGCAGCCATCCAATTGATCACAGGATCGATTCCGACGAAGCAATTGATGCACTTGGGAGGTCTTTCTAAATTGTACCGAGCAAATAGATCAGGATTTGCTGGTATAGACGATCAGAACAAGGTGCTAGTTGAAGAAGGTGGGGCACAAAAGGCAATTGAGATTGAAGAGCTTAACGAAGAAGAGTTGACGAAACTTGCAAAGGAGATTAAAGAAAAGGAGTCGGCACGAGAAAAAAAAAAGGCTGCAAAAGCTAAGGCATCAGGAGCATCTCCACAGGTCCCTTCCTAGTGATGCCAAAAGAGGACCGATGATTCACACATGAGAGAGATCTGGCTGGGCTGTGAGTGTCACAACGCTCTTTTGAGAGACATGTGATAGCAAATGATACCGGTGAAGTTGTTATTGTTTTTATTTTACAGTTTGCAGGCCCTGGGAAAGAAAACATGTGATTTCAAAAAGGACATATATTGCTATTGCATGAGCTCATACGTCAAATCTTGGTCTCAGCAAGTGCAGGTCTTGAAGACAGGAGAAGTTGAGTTTTCCATGAAATCGTTATGCTATCATTGCAGTTATAAAAAGATTGTATTGTTGCACTATCCATGCAAATTCATCTCTCAGGAAAGCTCAAGCATCTTGGCGTCCCTTTTCATTCTGACTTTGCCTTAATCTCACCTGGTTTAATCCCGCTCCTCACCAAAATTGAGGTAGTACCTGAACCATTTTTTGACACCCACCTGGTAGTTATCTTGGAATTTCAGATGCCAGATGCTCCCTTAAAAACTTTGAAATTTCCCATGCCAAAAAGTTTCATGGAGTTACCCTTAAATCTGGAATTTTTCCCAAAAGGATATGATGAAGCCATTGCCAAAAAAGGCGTACCTACCACAATCGAAACTTGGGGTAAAACAATTGAATTGGCTACAGATAAGGCACTCCGATATACCCAGATGCAGAATGAGAATATCCCTTTTAGCCACACGCAAGGACTGCCGAAACCTTTTCAAGGCAGATGCCAACCACGCAGGCCGAAACAATGTGCTATGGAATCTTTAACCCGACCGGGTAGACCTGGAGACTATAACCCGAATTTAGAGATTCATTCCCATTCCACCGCCAAAAAGGTTAAGCAGACCAGACGGCTCGACAGCCTGTGCCGAGGTCTCAAGAAAAACTCAGCAGACCCGACGCACCAGGCCATTCTGTTGCAAGAATGGCGAGCCGCTTTGCGATGCCAAGGTTTTAGGGGAAATTTTGTTAAATGGGCCCAGACACACCCAGAAATTGGCCCTTTGCCATGGACACTCCCAACATATGCCCAAGCATATGCCTTGTACCAGTTGGTTCGGCATGAAACTGCAATCGCCGTCCAATACGATAACACAGTTTGGAAAAGAAAAGTGCAATATAAACGCCATTTAGACACCAGCCAAGGGGGCCATAAAGACGCTTTTGCCAAGCTGAAAGGAGCCATGCAAACCCCACTGACACAACTACGAAGCACCGAGACCAGAGAAGCCATCGTAGTTCCAGAAGGTGAGACGCTGACACTCTATGCAGACCACTGCAAAGCCTTCACCAAGGATGATCAGCTGGAGATAGCCAACGTGCCATGCAAAGTGATACACATTGCAGAGCATTTTGTACAGGTCAAGCCGCACAGCACTGCAGACTGGCCTGCTGAAGCCACCATACATCAGCACCAAGCACATACAACGCCTGAAGACATGTGCCAGGCTTTAGACGCCTATTGGACGCAGTTTTGGACAAAGGAGCCAGACCCGCCACCAAGTGACCTTGGGGATATCCTGCAATATGTGCCTAGATATAATATCCCAGCTTGCCCATTAGATGTAAATCTTTGGCACCAAGCCATCAAAGCACTGAAGCCTCACAGCGCTAGGGGTGTTGACTGTATCTCCGCGCAAGAACTGAAGGTCCTTCCACATAGGGCAATTGAAGACCTGATGCACATTCTGGCTACATACACTTCGGGTTTTCCATCATGGCTGATGTGGGTGAAAACTTGTCCAGTTCCTAAGAAACCCGGATTAATAGACCCCTCTTTAGTCCGCCCAATTAGTGTCATGTCCCAACTATACCGCTTATGGGCCCGAGTTCAATGCCGTCATGTCATCCAACACCTGTCGCAAAAAATCACTCCAGAAATTACAGGGTTCCTACCGTCCCGAGGGCCCTATGATGCTATATATGAGTTTCAATGGTTGCTTGAACAAGCCCATAATGGGCAAGGACACCGCTCAGGTATTTCCATTGACCTCCTTAAATGCTTCAACACAATCGACAGAGAGGCAGCTCAATCCACCATGCTGCACGTAGGCATTCCCAGAACTCTGGTTAATCAATGGTATACTTCACTCCAAGAGGTCACACGATCTTGGACACTAGGCCCCTTAATAGGTCCTATTTTACATACCTCTAGAGGCTGCCCTGAGGGAGACCCCCTCTCAGTACTGGTTATGGTTCTGATTTCCACATGTTGGATTGCGTATATTCACAGGCATACAGACGATGTAACAATGGGGGCATACGCTGATAACTGGGGATGGATGGCCACACACCCCCAGGCTCATGCCAGCGTCCTCAGACATACTAGTTCTTTTGTAGGGGCGTACACCATGACCATAGATTGGAAGAAAAGCTGGATCTGGATGACACACCAGTCCCACCTACCACCCTTGAAAAAAGCGTTACGGGACCTGCTTGGACCCAATGCTGTCGCCACACTGATGCAAGCAATGGATCTTGGTGGGCAATTAACATATAGGGGTCCCCCCAAACTTGGAAAAGTCAGCCAGAGGCTGTCCGAAGCCGAGCGTAGACTTAGACAGTTGCAGCACATGCCACACGATGCCCGTAGCAAAAGTATGCTGGTCACTATGGGCATCTATCCCCAAGTTTTTTATGCGTCTGCCATAATCCCAATTGGCCGGCAGCATACAGACAAACTGAGGTCCAGCATTGCTGATGCAATTTTAGGCCCATCAGTTAGCCGAAACTCAGCCATAGCTATCCAATGCCTGCCGAAGCTCCAAGACCCAGAGCTGGTCTTGACACAGAATGCTATTGACATGGCTCACAGGTTCCTGCACAGATGCACTCCAAAAGATGCGCAGCTGTTTCTGCGTATTGCCTCACAGCACTCAGGAATTTCCTACGAATGCAAAGGCCCGGCGGGCTGTCTTAAGTTTTACCTTAGCCGAATGGGATGGGTAATTGATAAGCTAGGTAATATCCAGGTAACAGCCTTTTTGCGCCTTAACCTTTTCACAACCAGTAGGCAATGCTGGAGGCGCCTCCTCCAAAAAGAGTGGGAAACCCAATTGCTGCCCAGATTTTCCGACCGAACAGCCTTAAAGGGTTTGCCCCCTATTAATAAACTTGACACCACTGCAGTCATGCGGCAGTTTCCCAGGCAGGACTGGAAAACTTTGTTGAACGAAATTTCAGCAGCATATCAAACCGCC